TACCCTTCAGGTCTGGAACTGAACTGACGCCTGTGACTTCCAGCCAAACAATAGACAGGTATATAGAGTGAACATTTATATCAGGTAGATACACTCCTTACAGCGATCAATCACAGAAGAACAGAAGGGCAGTGTTTGCACAGGGAGACAGATAGGAGGGAGGTGCATGGGAGGGAAGGACACAGGGAAGAGGTATACAGTGAGGAAGTGGGAAGAGAGTTGTTACATTGTGGGGAATTGCAATCAATGTTATAAAATGTGTATGAACTGCTGTATGGAGAACAAATTTGCTCTGTAAATTTTCACCCAAATCACAATAAAAATTAAAAAAAAAAGGACCATAGTTTCCTGCTTGTTCTGTCTCTTTCTCTCGGATTACTTTTTCTGCTACATCCTCAGCAGAACTATGAAGAGGCCCCTTTGGTGAAGAACTGAGGCCTTTGACCAACAGGCATTTGAGTTTGGAAGCAGATTCCCAGCCCCTGTCAAGTCTTCAGATGACTGCAGCCCAGCCAGCATCTTGAATGCAACCTCAAGAGAGACTCTGAGTTAGAACCACCCTTATAAGTTGCTCTTGGATTTCTACTCCTCAGAAGAAAATGTTTGTCATTTTAAACTGCTGCTTTTTGGAATAACATAAGGCAATTTGTTATGCAGCAGCAACAGACAACTAATATATCTTCCTCACTGTAGGGGTCCTCTCTGCTCCCAAAGCTAATCCATAGCTTTACTAGACAGCCAAAGTCATTAAAAGCTTTTCTCTTATACTCAGCTGAGATAATAAGTCAGAGTGCTTGGATTCCAATATTCATGGTTGTTACTTTCTAGCTGTGCTACATTGCTACTTAACAACCTCTCTGGGCCTCAGCTTCTAATGCATCAAACAATGAGGATAACTTCCTGGAATGAAATATTGTGAAGATTAAAACATGGAACAGACCTGTGAAAGTACCAGGCCCAACACTGGGCACTTGGTGGGTACCTGATAAAGCTGGGTTCCCTCTGGCCCTCTTTAACGTTCCAGGAGTCCTAGGAGCACTTATGTAGTTTCCCAGTTCTACTTGCATGGCCTCAGGTCCCTTTGAAACAGGACCTATATAGTTTTAGGGGCTCCACCATTTCTTCTGACCACAGGAGACAGAGAAAACCTTCCTTGTCTCAGAGATTTCCCCCTTAGAGGATTGATAGCAGACCTGTTCACAGGAAGTGGGATGTGTTTCTGCAAAAGGTCCAAGAAAACTTTTGCACATGAGGGGCTGGTGCCACATTGTCTAGGCTTGGGCTCAAACTGCCACCCCAAAGACCTCTTTGGAGGATGAAAGGAGTCTAATTTGCCACTTACCAGATGCTAACAAATTAGGAAAATTCTGTGTGCAGCTTTCCCATTCATTTCCTTTCCACCAGCTTTCTTTTCCATCTCCCTTATTATTTTAATTACACAAATAATATACGAAAAATAATAATAGTCAACAGGTACTGAGAACTTACCGTGGTTCTAAGAGTGTTATAAGTCTGTATACCTCACAACGCTCTATGAAGCAGGTCACCCATTACAGATGAGAAAACCCAGGCAAAGAGGTGAATTGCCCAAGGTCTCGCAAAAACAGAAAGAAGCTAATAAAAGCTTAGGTTTCAGGGTCAGTCTCTCCTTTACACAGGCTGTTACAAGATCTTGCAATTAATTGTGTATTAATTTTTATTATTTCTTTTCTTAAAGAGGACCCACAAAAACTGGATCCAGATTCAGAGGTAGTAAGATGTCAATATGCTGTTTTCTTGCAGATATTCTAACAACACACTTATATCCATTTAGAAACAACTCAAGTGTCCATCAACAGAGTAATAAACAAAATGTGGTATATACATATAATAGATTATTTTTCAACTCAACAGCACCTAACAACAACAACAAAAAATAAATGAAGTTCTCAAATATGCTAGGACATAGATGAGCCTTGAAAACATTAGGCTGAGTGAAATATATCAGTCAGAAAAGGACAAATATTTTGATTTCATCTAGATGGAAACCTTTTGGAAATGGATAGTGGTATTGGTATCACAACATGGTGAAAGTAATTAATGTCACTGTATTGTACATTAAAAATAGCTAAAATAGCAAACAAATTTTAAAATACATCTACATCCATAAACACAGAAACAGATCGCTTTATATATTAAAAAAAAAAATTAGTTGGAGTTTTGAATGTATGGCCTGCATCTCGTTCTTTCACGGAACGTCATTACGGTAGTTCCACGTTTCTAACTCCCGCGCGACGCACAGCAAAGATCAGCATGTTTATTAACGCACCTTCCCACAGTTTAGCCCTCTACTTTTCCCCTCCCGAGGGTCTTCCCTTTTTCTCCTTTTCTCCTGCTCCCCACTCACTTCTCCTCTCACGTCGTCCTTTCCCTAATCCTCCGCACTTCTCCTCCCTCCATTTCCCCAGCCACTCCCCATCCCCCAGCATTTCTACCCTCTTCCTGGCCACTGGGGTTCTTCACCACCCACCGCCTCACCCCCACTTACAGTCCCCTCTCCTGCCCCTGCCCCGGCTTCCTTTCGCCGAGCGCGTAACCCCTACTCACTGTTACCCCCCACCCTTGGATCCTTCAGCCCCCTACTTTTTTCCCCAGCCCACCATCCCCCTGCCTCCCGCGGCCGGCTGGAGCGCACAGCCGGCGGACTACGACGCAAGCTGACAGCATAATGAATGGCTTCAGCTGTAATTAGGGACCCCGCGGCTAATCATGACGTACATTTACATTTTAAGTGCCGCAGAGGGAGCGGGGATAGGAGGGGACCAGCGGGAGGGGCTGTGGGCCTTTTCGGAGCTCTCCCTTCAGTGACTGCAGAGCTTTCCGTATAGGGGTCTGCTACAGCAGGCGGCAACAGAGGAGGTGGGGGAGGCAGCACCCACGAGAATCAATCTAGGCAGACATCGAAAAGCCCCATCTTCACTTCACGCAAAACGCAGCGTTCCCAGGCCCCCTTCCCCAAACTGGAGACCTATGCCTACATCTCCCGACGTGCGTTTGGCCCGGGCTTGCATATTCCCCGGAAATGGAAGCTCGGCCCTTTCCCTAACCAGTCCATTCCAACGCAGGTTCAACCGTCCGGGGGCTTTTTTCTCAGGCCTAATCTAAACTGCTGCCCCAAAAGTCCCACAGCCGGCCCGGCCTTGCGGAGTCCGCCGTTCCCGAGTTCTGCCACGCCAGGATCTTTGAGACCTTCCCAGCTGCTAGGCCTGGGGTTCCTAGCGCCGTTCTTCTTGGGGCTCGCGGGGCCTGGGGCCTGGGGCCTGGCCGAAGTCCATGTTCGGAACCGAAGGCCGCCCCGAGGGTCTCGATCTCGGAGAGCAAGTCAGTCACTCTTGCATCGGCGAGCAGAGGTCCAATGGTTCCAGTTAGCCCCAAGGGGCGGAGATGTAGTCAGCCCCAGGTTCTGAACCTTACGGCTAGAGGCGAGAGTTAAGAGGAGGCGAGACCAGCCGTGAGGAGGGAGAGGGGTACCCAGAGGCCCCTTCTCAGGACTGAGGGTCAGCTCCAACAGGCAGCGTCAAGCCCACAGCACTTTCAGGTTGCCTGCGCGCCACAGCTCTCCATCATCCCCCACTCCACGCGCTGCCGTAGTCCAACCCGCGCTGTCATTACCCTTATCCGGGCCAAGTGGGCACCACTCCCTCAGTTCAGAGTGTGAGGGTGGAAGGAAAAAAGAGAAGGCCCTTGGGCAGTTTTGGGCAGGTCCAGTTCCTTTCTCATCCCCCTTCCCTCCCACCTCACCTCTCTCACTTGCTTATCTCACCAGGTAGGAGATAGCGGCCACTTTCTTGGTCTGGTGGAGTTCCAGGATGATGGGCTTCATAATTAATGCCCACAAGGCTTCAATTCCCCCACCTTCCTCCTTCTCCAAATCTGCCCTCAACCAGACTCCTCTTTGAACAAGGACCCCCACTGGGTCTCAGGGTGATGGCCAAGGTCGACTGATAACGAACTCCACCTAAGAGGAACAGGGATCCACTTTAGCAAGAAACAATGTCTGCTCTGAGTAGATTCTCAGACTTGGGTAAGAGAAGATTAACTCCCCTTGAGAAGGGATTTCCTTGTTCTATTCCCCGTTCACCTCAGAGAACTGCCTGGCTCTGAGGCTCATTCCACACGCCCCAGAGGAATACAGAGGTCCGGGAGCCTCGAGTCTCGAGCCCCGATCGGGCGCGGCGAGGCTGAGACCTCGGTGTCAGACCGCCCTTCGAGGACCCCGCCGCGAAGTAGCGGTTCGAGGGGAGTCGCGGAGTGGAGCTGGAGCCAGCGCTTCCCGCACTCTGCTGACGGTGCAGAGCCTGTCCTTGAGGCGAAAAATTGGCTCCGGAGCGGAAGAGACCAGGGCGGTGAACCACTGGAGAATAAGAGGGGAGAGGCCCCCGCAAGGCAGTTCTGAAATCTCCAGGGAGGGGACTAGGGGAGGCCTCCAGTTGGAACTGGGAAGGGTTCGGGGAGCTTGCTCAAGCGGCATTTGCACCGCAAGCTGTTTTTATCTTGCTTGCCGGTTTACGAGGGTTGGCTCGGGAAGGGCTGATGGCCATTATAGGGGAACTTCGCCCCTGCAGTCACCGACTGGAGCCGCCGCTGCGCCTCATCCAGCGCCGCACTCCCACGCCCTGGAAGCGGACTTGGTCCTACAGGCTGGAGAAGCTGGAGAGGCTGGACAGGCTGGAGTGGCTGGAACTGGGGCGGGGCGGGCCCGAGTTAGGGGCGGGGGCAGGGGCGGGGCCTCCCGGGCAGCTAAAGGCGCGCAGTGCTGGGCGCGGAGAGCGCAGAGTGAAGCAGCGACCACCGAAAAGAAGTAGTGCTGAGGGTCGCGCCGTCCTAGCCCGCCCGTCAACGTCTACGTCGCCTCTGCACCCTTACCCCTGCCGACCCTTGTCCGGAGCGACAGGCGGCCATGCAGCCCCGGGGCTGAGGCGGCCCCATGGCGAAGCCCGCGGTGTTGGCGACGACGGCGTATGGAGAACTTCCGTAAGGTGCGCTCAGAGGAGGCGTCGGCGGGGGGCGGGACCGAGGGGGGTGGCCCGGGGTCCTGTCCCTTCGCCGACCTGGCGCCGGGAGCTGTGCACATGCGGGTCAAGGAGGGCAGCAAGATCCGGAACCTGCTGTCCTTCGCAACCGCCAGCATGGCGCAGCCAGCCACGCGCGCTATCGTCTTTAGCGGCTGCGGTCGGGCCACCACCAAGACCGTCACATGCGCCGAGATCCTCAAGCGCCGCCTGGCGGGCCTACACCAGGTCACGCGGCTGCGCTACCGGAGCGTGCGCGAGGTGTGGCAGAGCCTCCCACCCGGGCCCACGGCGGGTAATCCACCAGGAGATCCTCCCGCCAGTCTCAGTGTGCTCAAGAATGTGCCTGGCCTCGCCATCCTACTTTCCAAGGACGCGCTGGATCCTCGCCAACTTGGTTACCAGCCTCCGGACCCTCATCCCGGTCCCTCGTCCGCGTCAGCCACGCCTACGCCCAAGAGGAGCCTAGGGGAGCCTACAACTGGAGAAGGTTCCGCGAAGCGGTCACAACCCGAGCGAGGATCTCCAGACGAGGACCGGACAGCCTGAAAACTCTAGGGTTACAGACATCTAGATGGACTGGATCTTGTCCCCAGCGTCTCCACTTTCAGACGCATCTCCAGCCTTTCACGCGTCGGTCCTCTTGAGCCTATCACCTGGACACAGACACTCAAACTGGGAGCGTAGAACCCTAGAGGGTATCCTTGACTGACAGGAGAGGATCCCCAGCGACTCCAAGGGAGCCCCTCTGCCTGTGTTGCCTGGAGACATGTGGCTCCACTTTCAGCTTTTATGGACCGTATGGGGACTTCTTTAGGGAGGGAATGGTGGGCAGTTAACCTTGCTCAAGACCCACAAGGGTTAAAGGCACCTAGCATTCATAGTTTGAGTCCATGAGGCATGGAGAATTCTTGGAGTCACCCCAATCCTTGGCATCATTGGACAGGGTGTAGGAAACCAACTGCTTGAGAGGAGAAGGGTGTGGAGTTGTGGGGGCTCCTATTCTGGTCCCCCTCCAGGACAGTTTCCCATAGAATTTTCCTTCCTTTGCTTCCAATGAGCATCCTGAAATCATAGTGGCAGGGGTGTCTCCATGGGCTCTTAACTCTTAATGTCCATCCTTTTCCCATGTTGACCCAGAGGGAGAGACCCAGGACAGAACTCTCTATGCCTCCTCCCCTGAGCCCCCAGCTGGAGTTTTGCTTTCAATAAAAGAAACACAAAAATGGCAGTGTTCCCAGTTTTTTTTTTTCCTAATCACTTGCCATTGCAGAGCAGCTGTGGGCTGCCTCCTTGTGTCTCAGTCCTCTAGCCTGGCATCCTGGCCTTTGGAGTCTCCAGGATCATGCACAGAGACGGACACTGCCCAGTCCCTGGCTTTCCACTCCCTCCCTGGCTCTCACTCTGGCCTCAGAGTCTTGTGGCTGGAAGCGGGCCTGTGTCCCCCTGTGCATCACCACTAAGGAAAGGGAGAAGCCCATCATGCAGTGGTGAACTCTCCGGGGGGTCATTCCCAAGAATGGCAGCCACAGCTGGAATCTCTAGGTCTGCAGCCTTCTGTCAACTGACTGAGCCTTACCCAAAAGACTGGCACAAAGCACCCCATTCCCAGGAGTTGGGCTCTCCCTTTCACTGCCTTCTCTCCCTGAGAAAGGACAGCACACCCTTGGGGGAGGGGGAGAAGAGAGATTCAGCATAAATCCACTGCTGGAAATTACTATTCAGCAGAGAAGCTGGGATTTGGACTGTGAATCACTGCAAGCTTCCTGATAAGCTGCCACCTCCAGCCTTACACAGCTGACTGGTGGGAGATAACAGTCTCAAGCCTTTCTGCCCAACTCCCAAGTCAGCTGGGGTGGGGGTTCCTGGAAGAGCTCTGGTGAGTAAATGGGCTCATACCCTCAGAATCTTATAAGCAGACCTCACCCCATGTAATTTGGCAGTGCCATGGAAAGGAGATGGGGAAGAAGATATTTGTCAATCACTTTGCTGGCAGAACCCTGAAATACATCCTTCTGCAGGTGATCAATAGGTAGGTTCTGCAGCTGACAGGAGGGGCTCTTCAGGATCCTCCCCCCCCAGTACCTCTGCTTGAGCTTTGAACCAGGGAGCCCTCTTGTTACTCAGATCCAGGTCCTGGTTGCCCTCCACAAGTTCCTATTCTTTATGAGTCCCTGGGAAGAGCTAAGGGCTTGGATGTGTTTGTCTGACCCCTCTTGGGGATACCCAAGAAGGGTGGAAAGAATGTAAACTATCCTGACAACTGAGGTGCCCTGGGCTCATCCTGGATATGTAAAATAAATGATAAAACTTAGAATAAATAGGTTTGCAGGGTAGAAGCTTAAAGGAGACTGGTCTTTGTTCTGGAAAAGGGTCAACCTTCCAAGACTACTTGTGGTCTGACATTGAGAGCTCCATCACCAAGAGTGTGCAAGCAAGAGGCTGCCAATCATGTCGTGGAGGGATGGTTGAAGAGGCTTCCTATTCAACCTATTGGATGGTCGTTTAAAGTCAAGTAAATCTTTCAGCCTAGAAATTCATTCTGGGAGCAGGAGGAGAGGGGAAACACATTTCCTCTGTTTTCCCAGCTTCAGAGCATTAGCATGCTTCTTTGGTAGGCTGCTAACCAAAAGGTTGGTGTTCAAATGCACCCAGAGGCTCTGGGGGAGAAATACCTGCTGGTGGTACGGTGCTTAAGGCATTTGACTGCTAATCAGAAGGTTGGCAGTTCAAACTCACCCAGCTGCTCCATGCAAGGACGATGGGGCAATCTACTTCCATAAAAATTTATGGCCTTGGAAACCAAATGGGGGTCACTATGAGTCGGAATCAACTCGATGGCAGTGGGCTTAGGCTTGGCTTGTTCTGTAAAGATTCCAAACCAAAAACCTGATGTTCTAGTCTGTCACAAAGGGTTGCTATGAGTTGGGATATGACTTGATAGCACCTACAGCAGCAATAACAAAAGAGCCCTTTCAGTGCTCATTTGCTAACCAAAAGGTTGGCAGTTCGAACCTACCAGCTGCTCCACAGGAGAAAGATATGGCATTCTGCTTCCATAAGGATTACAGCCTTAAAAACCCTCTGGGGCAGTTCCACTCTGCCCTACAGGATTTTGGAATCCGCTGGACAGCAATGGGTTTTGGTAACAACAGAGTGTAGGCTGAGTCTCCCATGCCAGAAAGCATGTCATGAAAGAGGCTTTCTTTTCTGTAGGTTTCATTGTCATGCTTCTGATGTTGTTGTGTGCCATCGAGTCAGAACCGACTCATAGTGACCCCTCCTTGGGTTTCTGAGGGAGTATCACTGCGAAAGTAGATTGCCCCATCTTCCTTCCGAGGAGTGGCTGGTGGGTTTGAACCACCAGTTAGCAGTCAAGTGCCTTATGCACTATGCTACCAGAGCTCCTAGGCTTCTGATAGACATGCTGATTCACCATTGGGACCTAACATCTGTGAGTTCTCACTCAACCTTGCCTCTGGCCCTGCTGAACTAGGAGCAGGCTCCAAAGAAAAGTAACAGATTGTTCTGGTTACTTAGTGCTGCTCTGACAGGAAGTATACCACAAATCGGATGGCCTTCACAAACAGGAGTTTATTCTTCCAATTTGGAGGCTTTAAGTCCAAGTTCAAAGTGCCAGGCTCTAGGGGCTGGGGGAAAGCCCCTCAACCTTGGGGTCCAGCTCTGCCTCCTGCTCCCGGCCCACTTCACTCAGACAGCTGCTGGCTCCTGAGGCTGAGAAGCCCCAAGGTTGACAAGTAAAAGGCACAGTCCCAATGTTACCAAACTACATGGCAGGCCATTAAGTCCATTTTAAGTCCCAAGGTCGCCAGAGCATGGCAGGCCTAAGGCACTTGACTGCTAACCAGAAGGCTGGCAGTTCAAACCCACCAGCCACTCCTCAGAAGGAAGGTTGGGCAATCTACATCCGTAGTGATACTGCCTCGGCAACCCAGGGAGGGGTCGCTGTGAGTCGGGGCCGACTCGAAGGCACATAACAACAACAACATTTTAAGTCATGGCAGGCTGCTGAACAACGACACAGCTACATGCAGGGTCCAAGTGTGCCACAGGCTAGCGACCATTCCCAAAGCTCCTTATATACAGGAAGCAGACCACATCCCCAAGACAGCTACTCAGCTGCTTGTGGTAGATCCCACCATGGAGTTGATTGCCAGTCTCATCATGGGGATTAACTACCACCAGCTTCCCAGCCACTCAACCAGGCCCAACCAAGTTGACACACAACATAACCACCACACAGATGTTCTCGTGCCACCCTCTCAAGGCTAAGATGGGAAGTGGGTGAGGCCTGAGATTTGGAACACAGGGTGGGGAGGATGTTGGGGTTGGGGGGGATGTTAGGGGAGTACCTCAGAGACAGGATCTATTTCAGGAGCTAAGGAGTGAGAGTGTGAAGCCCCTCTTGGTAAGACTCCATCTTTCTAATACCTTTATCTTAGAGCTTTAAGTCATCTATCTTTACCTACTGGACCCAGCCTGGTAGTTTGGGCTCCTTACCTTGGGACATTTCCAGGCTAGAGGTGGCAGTGAAGGGTCACCCTAGAAAATTGCGAGGTCACAAAGTCAAGAGTTTACTCTATTTGAGAACATAAATGTATGTAATCCAAGACTAGAACTTGTGGTCAAATGGGTGATAGACCTCCAGCTGGGCCTTGAGGGACTTGATCCATTCCATAAGCAATCATTGTTATCTCACATCTAGGCATTGTTGTTGTTGTTTGCCATCAAGTCGTACCCAACTCATAGCGACCCCTCCTTGGGTTTCCGAGGGGTATCACTGCGGAAGTAGATTGCCCCATCATCTTTCCAAGGAGTGGCTGGTGGGTTTGAACCGCCAGCCTTCTGGTTAGCAGTTAAGTGCCTTAGGCACTACGCTACCAGAGTGCCTAGACAGTATTACTATGGAAGTAGATTGCTCATCTTCCTTCAGAGGAGTGGCTGGTGGGTCTGATCCACCAGCCCTCTGGTTAGCAGTCACATACCTTAGGCATACCACCAGAGATCTAACAACTACAGCCAGAAAAAGGAGGGTTTCTCCTTGTGTCATTAACCCTCTCCTGAACAGGACTTGACCTGTCTTCTTGGCATCCCAGGGGACTTGCTGTGTAAGGGCCAAGCAAAGGAGGGATTTTTGTTGTGTGAGCTGAGGGCTGCTGATTTAAAGGTGTATTTGCAAGGGTCTACTATGTGGCCTTGGGTTCCACAGCTTCAAATTAGTAAAAGCTTCAGGAACTGTCATCCATTGGGTCGCTAAAACCCAAGGAGGGGTCGCTATGAGTCGGGGCCGACTCGACGGCAAACAACAACAACAACAACATGCTGCGGGCCACTAGGGACGCTCTAGTTCCCTGATTCACTGGGATTAATTCAGCCCCAGGAAGGTCTCCTTGGTGAGATCAGGTTTCTTCCTCTCAGAAAACACATCTCACTTTGTAGTTGTGCCCTCATTAGTGTGGTCCTTTACTTGTCAGTCATCTCTCTAAATCATAAGGCCATGATTTAACAGTTCGTCTGCCTTGTTCCCT